ACATCATTATTACTAGTTTTATGATTTTTTTACCATAGCATATTTTAATTTTTTTTTTTAATTGGGGACATTATCCAAAGCCGCAATATACAGTAAAAAAATATGAGCCAAACAGGTACAGTATATAATAGATTTTTATTTAACTCTTCATCATAATATACTTATTCTAATTTAAAATTATTTATTGATAGAATCAAGTCAACATCAACAGCATAAACGACGACCAGCATACGAATTACCTTGTGCATTAGCTTCTTCTATTTCGTTGCATAATGGTTCTAGATTGTTAGAATGTGAAACTAAAGAGCAACAAACAATACGTCATGTGGATAGTAAATTAGCAAAAAGTCGCCTTCTATTGTATAATAGTTTTTTTTCTGAATTAATTCAAATTCAAACATATTTAGAAGATTTTTCTTTATGTGAAAAGCATTATAACCAACTTGTTGTGTCCAATTTCTTACAACAAGTTCTTACAAATACAAATTATTCGCAATTATCTAAAAATAAACAAGTACATCATCTTTGATTTTGAAAATGAATTAGTTGAAAAGCAGGCTCGTGTAGAGCATGCTTATGAAATAGAAGTTGAAAAAAATACTTGTGAAATTGGTATTCAAACTGAAGAGACTGGTAATAACATAACCCATAAAATTAGCATACAAGTATCTGATAATATGTCACGTCCTCTTATAAATTATATTAATCTACTTCAAGTGCAATTGAGTATAAAAATAGATGAGATAGAAAACCTTCAAAAGCAATTAGAATATGCATATGATTATGTAATCGAGAGTTGGAAACAAATTCAAGAAATAAATAAAATAAATAAAGAGCTATCCAAACAAAATAATGCATTAAAATATAATTGGGAAAATCATTATAATAATCAAAAAAAAAAGAATTGACTCAATAATTCAAATTGCAAATTATGAATGGCAAAATGTTTATAATAATATTGAATCATTAATTTTAAATAAACAATGATTTTCTCTTAACAATTTATTGAATTTTATACTTGAAAATTGGTTAGCTAATCATAACCCAGTTATTGTTAACTTCATTAATATGCTTATTTGTAATAATAATAATAACTGTAATTATACTACAAGTGAAAAGCTATTTAAAAAGATAGTTGCAATTGATGCAATATATGGGTCAAGACATAATAACTATGTGTCTAAAATAAATCTCGCCATGTTCAGAATTAAATATTTGCTAGCACGATCTAGAACAATTATTGATATCGACAATTATATAATTAGTTCTGGAAATTATACAAAATTCGTTAATTGGCTAGAATCGTTAGCCATTGAACAAGAACCTTTACCTAAGGGACTTCTATTTATAGCTTTCGATAATGAACAACGAGGTCAGCATAATTATTTTGATTGTGGATATAATATAGTTATTTATCATACAGTTACGAGTTTCATTGCACTAAATATGAATAAAATTGACCAAGCACAATTTACAACTACCTCTTGGCTTTATGATTCACTAAATAATCAATAATACAAAAAGTTATATTATCTTACACCAGAGATGAAGGCAGAATATGACCAAGAATTAAATATATACTTAGCTTCAATTTTAGAAGAACTTATTACTGAAAAAAGCCAAGAAAAAAATACAATCGATCAAATTATAAACAATCAAAAAGGCATTGGAAGCTATTCAAAATGGTGTAAAAAATGTAACACAACCAATATAAATAATAAAAAACGTACTTGTTCTAAATGTAATA